TTTTTTTAAATTTTTTTTCAACAAACAAACGTACGGCCATAACAATGATGATATATATTTTATTCGGCCAATAACACGAGGCGTGTATTGTATTTTCAAAGTTGACTACCCACGTAAAAATTACAAAACGGGTTTTTCGTGTTTTCCGATACGGTCGCGCCGCAACCATACGCTGGAAAATATCAAACGAGCCTGTCCGGTAGAGAAATTTCGGTCGGTTTCGAAATCGCTAAAACTATCCGATGACGATTTCCGTTCGTTTTGAAAACCGGCTATACATTATGTTTGTATTGTCGCGTAGCGTTTTGCAGGAATAATTTAACGGAAAAAAAAAAAAAAAAAAAAAAAAATTATAAATTACGATAAATCCGCGGTGCTTATAACCCGTACAATAATAATATTCGTATAAAATACGCGTTTCCATACGCGCCGCGTGCGCGTGCACCTTTCGAAACGACGGTTTCGTTACAAAAAAAAACCATAATCTTTACCGCGGTTTTACGTTGTTCATGAACGACGAGCTCGAAAATTACGTACGGCCGAGTTTGAAGCGGACACGTCGTATTATAGGCACGGATAATTATATCCGCCAACGTCAAATCGCCGCCGTCAAATTCGTTAACAATATCGTCGTCGAAGCATGTCGCCCAGCAGGTGTGAGCGTCCTCCATACGCGCGGAGGACGCGTACTCTCTTTTCCGGACTCGGCGGAATTTTCGGCGGTTCGATTGCACTGAGCGGTTTTTAATACAAACCAGTCGACGCGATTGTTGTCGTGTTCCGTTTGTAGTCAACTTTATATTGTTGAAGCGGAATTCCAATATGGCTTTGTGCAATTATTATCCGTAATAAAATTGTCCGGGAAGCGCGAATTTGAAATGTTCAAAAAGCACATGACGCGATTGAAAATATTAAATTTCATAGTATATTCATATTTATTATTATTTAAATAATTCATATTTATTTGATAGTTTGAATAGTGAAAAAAAAAAAATGTTGAAATAATATTGTTATTACCGTGAATTATCGTCAGATTCTCGAATAAAAAAAATGTCGAGTTTACGGAGTCGTCTTGGTCAGAAATATCGATAAAACGTCGCCGCCGTAAAACAAAAATATAACTCCGAAATCGTCTGGTTTTTTTTTTTTTTTAGAAATACAAAGAAAAAAAGAAAAACCAGCCGATACTGGGGACGACCGTGTTACCGTTACAAGTGGGATGTGGAATAGTTAATATAATAATATAGTGGACGACTTTCTCAGCGGACGACGAACACATCCAATTGGCGGAAGCTTTTACGGGAACGGGGACGTTTTCACTATTTATGTATTGGAAAACCTCTAAATAAAGGACAATCTAAATACCGGACGATTTTTAACATTTTTATTGATCGTTTCAATCGTGAATTGGAAACAATTGTAAAACACCTAAATAAAACTCTTAACTATTAAATTATATTTTATTACTATTTTACTATGAATACGTACAATATTATACTGTGTACTGTGTATTAACTGTACACAACGCGTACATCTTACATCGCCGTCCAGTCCAGTTATTGTAATGTAAATAGTTGTCCTAGGACAATGCGGACGGGTGCGACCATTGTTTTAGGTAATTTAATGTACACATCTGTTAACATCGATGAACAATGGTTAATTTTGAGAATCGCTAACGAAAAACGATTCTGAGCCGAGTTCAGTTCATGTTCAGTATAGTTCAGTTTTGTCAATAGTATATAATATTATTTGTCATATTATGGTAAAACGGTTATAAAGGTATTCTCATTTTTTTTTTTTTTTGCTCACTTTATAATTAAAAAAATTACAAGGAAATTCAAAAACATCTTCCTCACTTATCTAGTTAGATTAAAAATGTCAATTGAACATGTATCTTGATGTTTTTCGATTAAACAAAATGTCTGGTAGTAAAAATAAACCACGAACATTTAAAATAAAGAAATCAGTTTTTGTTTTTCGTCTTTTTCTGTTTTTCCCAATTATTATGAAAACCCATTGGAAAATCAAACTTTTATAATACGGATTTGTGTTTCAAGATTCCGTCGACAATTTCTAACGAATCTATAAATCTCGTTTACGAATTGATATATTTCCAAAAATGATATTTAGAACAATCCTTGGGCACAGTATAAAAAAAAAAAAAAATTAAATATTGTATTCTCGACACACGGTTTTCTTTGTATACTCATCGGGCCCGTTCGAAGTGTTGGCCCGTCTTTTTTCAATAACGCAACGGTGCGGGCCGAGGATTCTCAACCTGGAGATTGAAAACTTGAAAACGAAAATTACAAGGGAGTCACGAACGTTTTTGTAAAATCCACAGAACATGTACGCATTTACGTACACATAATATATGTTTGTATTATATTCCAATATTGTAGTTGCGGGGAAGGAACGTGATCTCGGGCGATAATTTAAAAAGAGATCCAAAAGTTTGAGCACCCTCGTACGGACAGTAATGTCTGTTGTAGTTTACATCGAAACGCACATAATTCAATGTCGGACGGACGTCCGCCGACAGCGCCGCGGTTATGGATTCATCACGACTACAGTGGTTCTCGGACAATAATTTTTATTTCTGCGGGGCACGTAACTTACAGCTCTAAAAACGGCCGAACAAAAAGTAACAATGATAACGATACCGGAATATCTAGAAATTGTGAAAATAAAATTCTATGGTGCGCGTGATACAATTTATATTCCTTCTTCGGTGCGATAAACCGAAGTCTTACCGAGTTGCAGCGGACGCTAATATAGAAAAAAAAAAAAAACCAACTCGTAGACTGTTCGAGACCGTTTAAATATTATTCTCGTTATTATTTATGTTACGAAGCTTACGCGGTATTGAAGTAGCGCTAAGCATACGAAAAAAAAAACAAACCAGCATTAAAATGGTACAAAAAAACAACGGTTTACATGTAAAAAAAAAAACAAAATAGCACATAATATATTATAAATTATATAAACTTCAAAATATACAAAAATATGAAAAAAGAGTTCGTACATAGTTCCGCAATTACACAAAAAAAATATACGGTTCAATAGCTCACATAAATATCTCTAAGATCACTCGAAAAAATATAGACATACTTCGTACGACGGGTGGGCCACTGTTGTTGGTGAGAAATTGGGAAATTAAAGGGAAATTTAATTGCTATTTGAGCGAAGTTAATACACGTCCGCACATTTTCCCGTTTTTCCCAATTATTACGAAAACCTTGAAAAATCGTAAAATTATCTTCCTAGAATACCACCCAGATAAAATTCAGAATAGGTACTAAACTTGGAGCAAGATATTAGGTAGAAACGTTGTTTGCGGAAAAAAATTAAAAATAAACATCATTGTAAAACCAATTCATTACTCGCTAAGCTCCGAATCTAAAATACGTTTATTATACGATTTCGTAGGACAGTGCGTACAGAGAGAAGGCCCGTTTTTCGGTCCCGTGGGCTTAGTCCCGGGGCCCGCCGGACGCTTAATCCGGATTTAAAAAAAAAAAACTATTAATAAACCGTATTATAGTAATAGCGTACAATGGTACAATATGTATAATAATAGTATTGTTTACGGAGTCAAAAATTGAATTTTTAAAAAAATTAAAATACTATTACGGCATGATCGTACTTATTTTTTATAAAATACAATATACATATACTTTGTTTCGCCTTCTAAAAGACAGATATTATTATTATACCTAAGTAGTGTGTACTTTGCGATAATTATTATAAAGCACTCTGGTTGGGGAACAAAAACCACCCGTCCGTTATTCGTTTTATTAAAATTTAGTATTCCATTGTGACGGCGGTTTATTGAATTTAATAGACCTCCGTAATTACGTACAATAATCAGGGCTAGGATTTATATGTATTTACGAAACAAAAATATTCATTTATGCTATTTAAATATATAATAATGTGTGCTAAAAAACTCGAAATACGTACCAATATTACTTATCTATTTATTAATATTTTATTATGTATAGTCTTACGAGTTCCTAATGAAACAAATTATGATGAAAATAATGGAATTAACAAAAGTTGAAAAAAAATTTATTAATTATCTTAATTACAGTTTATGACGATATGCATTTTTAATTTTTCAAATTCAAAGGATCGTCGATTTGTTCGTAAAAAACTGCCTTATACCGACTAAATGATCTTGATTGACTTCGACCGATGTTATTGGACAATATTGCATATTGAGTGTATCTAAAAGAGTAAGTCTTAAATCCAATGAAACTTCTAAAGAAAGACCAGTTAAAACACGTTTGATAGCTTTCATTTATTTAAGACGTGCGTTTTTTTGTAGAACATTATTAACTTTGTCGTCTATAATTTCGCCAATTTTTCCTTGTAATTTTACAAGTTTTTTTTCCTGTTTCCTCTACAATATTTAAACTTTTAACTAAAGTTAAGTCACGAGTTTTTAATTTTTTAATGACATGAAATGTATACTTATTTATTTTTCAAATCATTAATTTTTAAAATAATTCCACAAGTTTTTTATAAACATTGATGTAGTCGGATCAAGTTTGGCAACAACATATTTTATTTCTTAGCAATTTTGGCCGTAATAATTAGCGGCATTTAGCCAAGTGCCTCCCATCTGGTTATTCTGGTTATAATTGGTTGTGGAGGAAGGACTAAACCCGAGTACATAATTTTAAATAATTCGATACGGCCTGAAACTTTTTGAAATATCTTTTTGACTGTGGATATTAATCCGTTTACTTTTGTAAAGTTCGATCGGATGGTTACTGCTATTCGGTGAAATCCGTGTGCTAAACACGTTAAATGGATCATTTTCGGAAAAAAAATCATTTAACCGGCTTTACCGGCTTTTACCGTGTATGGCGCGGTATCAGATCGAAATAATAACACATTTTCATGCAAAACTACATCGGGCAATAGATAATCGTAGAATTATTAAAACATCTCGCAACAGTTTGGTGGATGCATTTACCTAATTGTTCACAATTTTACAAAAATAGACTTATAGATTTAGTGTCATCTGGTTTTCCAATTATGATATTTGCAATAGATCTACCATCCGTATCGATTGTTTCATGAATCGATATCCATATGGGCCCATCGCCGATTGAGTTTCTTATTGGTTTAAGAGTTTCATGGTATATCGGTTGAATATAATTTTTTCTTAACGTGCTTTCATCAAGAATTGATTTTGCAGCATATTTTTTCAAAAATGATATTAAACAAGAATTTTGAACTTTTACTAGCCGAATATCAGCATTAATAAAAGCTTGGCATAATTCGCTGTTGAGTGTATTAGAAATTGAAGAAGACGCGGATGACAGAAACGTTTGTTTGAATTTCAACTTTTTATCTCTTGTTTTCTTTGTGCTTATTAGTTTGTAAATGTTGTATTATCTGAAACCGTTGTTCAATCGCTACGGATTTTAAACACACGGTACAGTATACAATTTAACCGTCACTTTGCAAATGTTCGTCCGGAAATTCAGAAACACGTCTTGCAGCTTTGCTAGTGTTAGGATAATCGTACCTTAGGCAAAATATTACGCTAAATTAATAAAAGAAGTATTGATTTTATACGTAAAACGAACATAAATTACAAACACGCACAACGCACTACGATATTACCGTTTGTCGCAGTGTACGTAACCGAATTTATATTTTAATATTTTAGAAATAGTTACAATAATACACGGATAAACTTATCACAAATCCGGTATTTGAACCGAAAATCGAAAATCGAAAAATTACCTTTTTAAAGTGCAATGTAGATTTAGAACTTTAGTTTTCAGAAAAGGTGCTATACGTGAAAATCGGAGCAAGTTTACTAGGGATACACGTGACCACAGAATAAAAGACGAAAACGGAAGGAATATACAGCGTTGTAAAACCAATAGCTCCGTTGTTACCACGCTCGGAACGCGAAACCGTAATATTATACAAATATGTTTCGTACATATTCCACGGTTTTCGACGAGATAATCGAACGACGGTCTCCTTTAAGTATCTCCCGACACCGGTTTTCTCTCGGATAGAGCGTTTCGAAACCGGAACGAGTCGTCTGCCGGAAAAGTCGTCCGTGGGGAAAGAAAAAAAAAACCAAATAAATAAATAAACGTCTTTGTACGTGAATCGTACATTTATAAGCTTCGTCTCGCTCGACCCGGCGTCTGAAAAATAGACGTACGCGTAGAAATATTATACTAATAGCTGCTCGACAAACACGTCGTCGGCGTCTCCCCACCCCCCCGCCCCCTGTAAACACGCGGCCGAGTCGGACCGCAGTGACGGCAAGTCGCGCGCGGCTACATAATAATGATCCGGCGTCCTCTCGGCGCGGAACGAGCCCCGACCGCCGGACGCGAACGCGTTTTCGGCCGTTCCGGCCCGGGGGAAACGAAAAACCCGCACGAAAACGCGCGGCCGGACACGGACGACGTCCGGCACGGCGCCCGTATAGTCCGCGCGCGCACTATAGGCACGCGTATACGGTAGCGCGCGCGTTCGGACGACCGTCGCCGCCGCCGCCGCCGCCGCCGCCGCCGCCGCCGCCGCCGCCGTCGGCACGACCGCTCGCGCACGCCACCACGCACACGCGTCCGGAGCGAACCGAGCGCCCGACGTCAAGTCTCTCTAGTGTCGCGCGCGCCAGTCGCACAGCCGTCACGTTGCGCGCCGGTCGTCGTCACCAACCCCGCTCGCCGTTTCGCCGCCCGAGCGCGTCCGTCCGCGTATTCTGCCCGCGACGCCAGACGTGTTCCGCGAGCGCCCGAGACCGGCCAGTGCGAATCCCCGTGCCGTTACGCCAGTACCCGCCGTTCGCGATGTACGACGCCGGTTGACGACACTCGTCCCCGACACCGAACCTCCGCCGCGTATTACCGCGACGATAAATATTTATTTTTACGCGTGAATATTGTCTTTGTAATTTTATTTATTTTTTTTTTTTCGCGTTTCGCGTTTCGCATTGTACTGCCGCTACTGTTTTCGCCGTCGATCGCACCCGTCGGCCGTCCGTCTCTGCCGTACGACCGTACCGCGTACGCTCCCGCGACAAACGTTTCGCCGCGCCGATCTTTTCTCCCTCGGGTTTTTTTCTCCGTTTCGTCTTCTCGCGTTCACCGCGACACCGGTGATGATGATGGCCGGAACCGTGGCCGCGACGGTCAGCCGTCCCGCGATTTTGGTCTTGGCGCTGCTGTTCTGGCTGAACGCCCGTCCCGGAGGAGTCTCGGGTCAAGGTAATGATTTCGCGCAACTAAATATTAATTTTTACGCGGCGTTCGCGCCCGACCGCGCACGGTAACCGGGCCGGCATGAAAACGGCATACCGCCGGTGCGTATAATACCTACCCAACCTGCCCGTACGCGCACTGCCGGCGACCCCCGTCGCGGGTACGTAACAATATCGTAACGCGCGGCGCGGCCGCCCTACCCGGTTAACCTGTCAATTTGGTCACGTCGTTAAAAAGTCACGCGATATTTTTCGTTATTATTATTATTATTATTATTATTATTGTTGTACGTGCGGATATTTTCGCGTTTTGTCGTCGTCGTCGCGCGCGCGCCTTTCCCCCCCCCCCCCCNCCCCCCCCGTCAAACTGTTATTTATACGAAAATATACATATACATATGTATACAATTGTGTAATACGTACGAATGCGCCGAGCGTTCCGCTTGTAATAAGCGTTTGTCGTCCGAGCGTGTCGTCGCCGTTGCCGCGGGTGCATTAATTTTTTGGGGAGAGCGGGAAAAAAAAATAAATAACAGAAAACGATACCCCGGCGACGATATTTTCTCGTATCCGCATCAGGTCGTACGCCCGCGAAAAATTCCCGGACGCGACCGTTCGTTTATTCGCGACGCGAGACGGATTTTCGTTTTCGCATTTTTTTTTTTTTTATTCATTTTTTTTTCGTTTTAATTTCAATCTCGGCCACGTGTTGCCGCGATTTCCGCGCGCCGATTTTCTTCACCCGTGTGATGTCGTCGACGACGGCCGTTTCGGTTTTTTTCGTGAATACCGTTGTTGTCGCGGATTTCGACCGGAAAAATTACTCCACCCCCGCGGCTCCATCGCCGGCAATATCGTCCGTCCCGGCTGATTCCACTCCCCCCCCCCAGACCCCCACTTATCCTGTACCGCCGGTAATTTGCGGAATAGAACGTCGCCGTCGAAACAACAAACCGTTCGTTCCGCTCGCGGTTCCGTCCGAGCGAAAAACGACGTTCGCCCTATTCGGAAACGAAACCGGGGCGAAACATCGGCAATTTTACGTACCGCGGTAACCGCGATACGAGAATCCGAAAAAAAAAATACCCGCGGGAAAGCCGTTTAAAAACGGTAATTTTTTTTTTTCGTTTTCACAGACGAATATATTTTTTAACACCGCCGAGCTCCGATCGCGATAATATCATGCCATAAACAATTTTCAATCCTTCGCCGAGGGCCGTCGCGTACTCACAGCGCCGAGTACATCTCAGAATCGTTTTCTGCCCCGGGGTCGCTCAGGTTCTCGCGAGCAAAGGCGTCCAACGTGCGGACCTACTCCCTCGGAGCCGACAGCGGTTTCTCCGGACCGCGGTTCCCGCCGTCAGATTCTCGCCCGCGTCCGGACCGTCACTTTTTTTTCGCCGTAAATTTTTTTCGCGTTTTTTTCCGCACTCCTGTAAGTCGTTCCGCAACTCGTTCGCCCGCTACGCGCGCGATCGTTTCCCCGTCGATTCCGCGGTGGACGTTTTCCCACCGAACGGGCCTTTAATTATTTACTTTTTATTTATTTTTTTTCCGGCCAACCCGCGTCCGTTATACGATTCTTGAGTTTGCGAATATATAACGAAAAATATGATCGTATTTCGATCGGAACGACGACGCCGTGGCACGGATTTTTTTTTTCAAAAAAAAAAATCGAGCTTACAAATTCCGGTCGCCAAACCGAACGGATAAATACCGTCGCGAAAACGACAAAACCCGAGCCGACCATAATTTCGGACGTAAAATCGGCCGAATTTTTCGAAAGGACTCCGGCGCCGCCACCGGTTATTTACAGACGGGCAAATATCGCACGACCACGGTTTTCGATCGAAAGTCCGGAACGTTACGAAATTCGTTATCGTCGTTTTCACATTATTTTTTTTTTTTTTTTTTTTTTTTATAAACGGTTTTTTGTTTATTTCGCGAGTTGATAATTATTTACACACATACACGTATATTAATATAGTACAATAGTGGTTTCCAAATGGTAATTGCCGAGTAAAATATTTCGCGAATGGACGGCGACTCATTTGACGGCCGATAAATATGCTAATTTTTATTTCGTATTATTATAATTATATTTATTTTTTTTCTTTTATTCGCGGCGAACCGCGGAAAAACAATATACGATCGCCTTTCGTACAAATATATGTATACGAGAGAGAGGGAGAAACAGACATTCCGTCGCTATCCGCCAACAGACTAATTTTCACGGACCGCGCGTGAATTTTATTACGCGGATACATTAAAATTATTTTCGTTTTTTTTTCAAACAGTTCTTCAGTCTCAAAGGGGTGAACGATAAACACCACGTATACGCGTGTATCAAATCGAAATATATCGGCGGGAGTCATTAAAAAAAAAAAAATCGCGAATAAACTTTCCCGATAAAATCACATTATGACAATACACCACCGGCCGTTTTACCGTTATTCTTCGAAATTTATAATTTTTTTTTTTTTCTACGAGGCGAATAAAATCGAATAAATAACAAACGAACGTAATTATACGTAAACGCCCTCCGATCATCCGGTTTAACGCGTTCGCGGACGGTAAATTTGTATCAGCAAGAATACCGAACCACACAGGTAGAAACCTAACAGCCGAAAACCACAGAGTAGAAAATAACTCGGTACTGAATTATTCATTCACAAGAGGGGTCTTGTGAAAAAGTAAAAAACGTATAAAAAGAGACGTCCCAAGGTAATGGGGACGGGTGCAGCCACTGGCAATAGGTAATTTAATGTACGAGCGTAAGCAGCGATAAACAGTTTCTGCCGGAAAAACGATTCTGAACGGAGTTTAGTTGATAGTGTAGTTGCTCTGTCAACAATATATATGTAATACCACGGTCAAATAAATCATAAATAAATAATTACATAAACAATGTATACTTTCTTTAAAAATATTTGTTCAATACTGTACCTATTTTCCCGGTTTTCTACGTTTTTCCGGTTTCCTTGTGTTTTTTCTCGTTTTCAACGCTGGGAAAACTCTTGGGAAAATCGAAAGATTTTATCCCTCCTTAAAGTACCTTCCCAGAAAAATTTCCTTTCGGAGAAATCGCTATCATTATAAATTGGAGGCAAATTGCTTGTAGAAAAGTTATGATAAAAGTCACAGAAAAAGAAAATCGTAATATTTTAGTATTATATTTCGTTAAATATTTATATTTTTCAGCAGTTTTTTTTCGGTTTTCTATATTTGCTGGGAAAATTCTTGAGAATATCGAAAAGTGACCTCCTTAAAGTATACCTCCGAAACCGATTCCCTTTCAGTAAATGTGCTGCACTTAAAAATCGGAGCGAGATTTCTGGTAGAGAATTTGCACGCAGATCTTTGTAAAACCATAAGCTTTCTTTGGTCAGAAACTAAAATAAAACAGCGCCCGACGTTTCGAAGTTCCGCACACCGGGACAGTGAAACGTCTCTCATATTACGAAACCGTTGAAACTATTACGACTGCTATAATAACGTGTAAAATTGCCGTGTTTATTTTAACGATTTTTATTCTACCGCTTTTATTATAGCCGGCAGTGATAAAATATTATATGTACATCGACTTTTGAAATTACTACGAGCAGCCGGTAGCTGTCCGCGAATGCGTTTTGATGTTAAAAATCAAAATGAAACGCGGCCGTGCCAAAAGTGACTGTGGGTAGGTATGAAAACGCGTTTAAACATTATTTACCCGTGTTGTTAAACGCGTACTCATCGATCGAATCGAGACAATCGAATTGATTGCGGTTCGAATTTTAACGATTTAAAAAAATAATGTACAGAGTGTTCTACGAAGATATATACCCGGTGCAATATCTCCGGAGATAATAATTATAATGAAATTCTGTTTTTTTTTATTTTTTTTTTTATATAACTCAGGGATAAGGACAACAGATATGCATACTTCAATTGATGTGTAACGCTTTGTTAACTCAAAAGAAAAAATTGTTTGTTTTATTTTTTTTGAAAATTTGATGTATCAACTCTCGTTTTTATCAAATTCGTGATTTTTAATCATTTTTTAAAATTCAAAGAAAAGTACTTATATATTTATGCAGCGGGCTGTAATCGCATTCACTTCATTGATTATTATTATTATTACGATTAACATTGACAGTACGCGTCTTTTCTATGAACTCTGAAAATTTTGTTTAAAATTACGAATTAAATGAAAATGAAAAGTCGATCCGTTAGAATTGTCAAAAGCATAAACTTTATAAAATTGCTATCTTAAAATTTTTTCGAAAACAATAAGAAAATAAAAAGTTAGTTTTTTTTTACGCATTAAAACTCAATTACCATATAAATATTTGTTGTCCTTATCCCTGTGAGTAATGTAAAAAAAAAAAAAAACAGAATTTGATTATCTTTATTATCTCCGGAGATAATACAATGGGTATATCTTCTTGAGACACCCTGTATAAGATAGATATACTCGATTTCGAGCGTTAAATAATAAATTATCAATATCGGTATACAGAGGCATGTACCGGCGATTTCGTCTTAAAATGGAAAGCGGCCACGTCCCTGGGGCGGGCCCGCGGGTGTAAAGGACCCGTTATCCCGTCCGTGCAATATGTGTGAATAAAAAGACGGACATAATACTTCGCACGACGGATGAGCCCCTGTTGCAGACGAGAATTTGAGCAGGTAGGTTATAATATAGAGCACAATTTAATTTGCATACGATAAACCATTTCTAACGAAAAACGATTCTCAGCTAAGTTCGATTAAATGTGTTTTGAAATGTCGTCATTTTTTATTATTTCCGTCAACATTTGAACACTTATAAAATAAAAAACTACTACATTACGCTCAACTTTTTTTTCCTTTTTCTTTTAACCACTAAGTACAACTTATAATAAACCTCGGATTTTCAAGTATTTCTGTTTGGCCAAACAATTTATCCGCATAGAATGAAACATAAAAAACTCGAAAATGTCAAATGTCCATAAATAACGAAATAATCGCGAGAATGCTTTTAAAATTTCACCACATTTAGAAAAGACTAATAAAAGTGTTCTGTAAAAATGATTAAACGAATTACAACAGGAAAACTAAATATAAAGTGATGAAACCTAAAACTTTTTCTTTTTTCCTACGGGTTTTCCAATTTATTAAGAAAACTACACGGAAAAGCCAAAAAAAAAAAAAAAAAAAAAGAAGAAGACTTTCTTCCGAACTAATAACACAACATTTTCATTCAGAAAACATGCTCATCTTGAAATCCGAAGTAAGATTTCTAGTATAAATAAATAAATCAGAAAAAACTTTTCATGCCGAGAACTTGTGCGTTTTTCCTATTCGTTTTTTCGGGTTTTCTCAATCGTTCCCGATAGCTTTTGAAATGTTTAGGTACTGCACTTAAAGAATGATTTAAATTCGAACAAAATAACAAAAATTAAATCGATACTGTTTTCTTAACAAAATAACTAAATATATTTATCTAAAATTCTGTTATTATTTTTAAGTAGCCGAATTAAAAGTTCGCGTAAAAATAAAATGATTTTATTGTCCAGTAAAGTGATTAAGTGAGTAAATCACTGTCCAGCTGTGTATTTGAGCCGTGGAGTTTTTTTTTTTTTAAACGTTCAAATATAATACATTATATAGGTACTCGCGTATATTCCGTATTCTCGATATGTCTCTTTTCGTCTACCGAGCACGTAGTCGGGATATACTTTTTTTTCGGGGGAGATGTACAGACATAAAATTTATCACAAGCCTATTGTTTGGGGATAGAAAATATCATAACGTAATGGGTAAAATAAGCGCCGTCTTTGGTGCAAAGCTGAAATTTCTCGGGGAGGGGGCTGGGTCCAAATCTGGCTACGCGGACCTGATTTGAAGTACATTTCCGGTCAACCGAAATTTGATCTTTATTAATACCCGTGCGATCCGTATACGGAATAAAATCGCCCAAACTTTCGCGGGTTCGCGCGATAGATAATATGACATTTAAGGGTTAAAACAACGTTATTTATGTCGAATTCATAAAACACTGCTGTGCAAAACAGTAATCGAGGAATATCGCGTTCGCGTTTATTCGCACTACTGTATATTATTAAGAGGACGATACACGTGCATTCGTTTCCACCATAAAAGCGCCGTACGGTATGATTAAAACACGCTTACGAAAACCACACAGAACTCGCTTACTCGATTTTGGTTCTGGAGTAAAAACACCTATTGTAAAATCCAAAGAATACAATATTACGGAGGTCAGTTTACCGTTCATAAACAACGATTTTTACAACGGTTTTTCAATTCGTTAAAACTTTTTAAAAAAAAATAATAACAATTATTATTATTTTTCCGAAAAAAAAAAAAAAAAGCAACGTCTTGCCCCCCCCCTCCCCGGAATATATCGTACTCTGTTAATTCCATAGTTGGCGCTTTTGCTCTTAAACCAAGCGTGTTCTGCGCAGTCCGCGTATTCGTGTGTTTTTACTATACATCTTGTCGGACGGAAACAACAAAAACGCGCAGACGTGTAACGTCCTCTAAACAGCGCGTCGTGAACATTATTCACAAACACCGTTATCCTGCGGTAAGAAACAGATCGGTTTTTTTTTTCTGTAACAATCGACGTTCGAACATCGCAATATTATATATTTTTATCAACCTCAAATATTCGACATTTCACGGCGGTACGCTGTGAAACCGAGATCGCAGCACGGCGATACACCTACGCCGCGACGACGTGTCGTCGAGTTTCTTTTAGTTCACGTTTAAAATATCCCTCTACAACGCGAACCGATGATTGACGACGATCATGTTATTGTGAACACCACGCCGATATTATCGCGTGACGCGATCATTATTAGTTTTTTACTTTTTTTCTATTCCTCCGACCAAATACGTCCGACCGACGAACAGCGTTCGGAAATTACGGCGCGAGTGTCGAATAATAAAAAAAAAAAAAAAAAAATAAACAATTATATACGTATTAAAATACCGGGATTCCGTGTCGCCTGTGTAGAAACCCGATAACAATATTGTTTAAGTAGGTACAATATCGTCCCGCGGAATCGACCGAAATAAAGTGGGGAATTTTTACACGCCGTCGTCGTCGTCGACTCTGCTATTAAAAAATAAAAATAAAAAAACCACCCGTATTACCTGCGCTAAACGCGTATAAACTTGAACAAACATATAAAATACCTACCTGCCGGCGGTCTTTATGTATGCATATTCGTGTCAATAATAATAATAATAATAATAATACGGTGCCGTCATTTGTTTTTTTTATCAGCGCGTGAACATCTATTTTTTCCGAAAAATAAAAAATAATAATAATATTATGTAGGTATATTCGTTTTTTCGGTAGATATTTGACCTCCTGCGTATATTATACGTAACGCCTAGTCATTACACGTTTTTATGTAAAAAAAAAAAAAAAGAAATATTATTTGACAATTTTTTTTTTTCTTGAACAACGCACGTTTCCAAAGTCTGCGGTGTAAAACGTTTTTTTTTTTTTTTTTTTTTTTTTTTTACGGGAATTAATATTTCTCCATTACAATAATACGGAACGCGGTGCAACTGCGGCTATGTCATAGCACTATACATTTATATATAACAATGCACGCGTATCAAAAAGCTTTTCCGATAAAAATTATTACATCGGAATCAACGTCAACGTTATACGTTTCTTCATCGATCGCGATTTTATTGTTAATAAAATAATTGCGGTTTCTTTCCTATTATTATTTATACTGTTGTTGTTGTATTATTCGAAATCGATTAGAATGTTCGCGAGCCTGTTTTTCTAACGAGCAGTTTTTTTTTTTTTTTTTTAAAACGCACACACTTTTTTTCAAACGAAACACATTATAATACGGTGCACAACGATTAAAACGCCCGTAAAATAATAACGTCTAAACGGATAATAATGCGTGTGAAATTATTCATTAGTCAGTAATTTATGATGATAATATGTGTTTAACGTACATATATAGTGTACAAACGGATAAATAAATCAAATCCTAAACAAATAAAGTTGGGGTTTTATTTTTTTTATGAGTAATCATTACAAAATGCAAGCCTGCGCTCGATCAGTTTTTTTTTTCGGCTCAAAAATCGCGCTTTACAGGCAAAACTCTCGTGCCTCTCGTAGAGCTTGACGGAATTTCATCACAGGATTCAGGTGGACGCCTTAAGCCTGCGGGGGGAACGCGCGCCATCCCCTTAAAATCGTCCGTTTTTTCGGTATTTCGATTGTAAAAATAGCGAGTACTTAACGAGTTCGCGGTTAACCGAGTCGAGTTGCGCAATCCGAGTCGGGGCCCCAGTCTGTGGGTTATTTCGGACCCCTACTCGTGGGACTCCTATATTACGGGGGTCAAGTCCGCGTGTACCGTTCGCACCTGCATTGATCTGGGTCTGTACGTAAAATAATATTAAAATTACGTGTTCCTCTCCCCGAAATTGTTTCCGGACTACGTTTTTGCAGTACTCGGATTTGACAAATCGAATTCATAAAATCTCCGTCATCAACAATTCAAATTCATCGCGCCCACGTACCAGGAAGTTTTCTCCTATCTAACTGGAAGGAGAAAAAGTGATCGTAATCGGATCATCACCCAGCGGGGCATAAGAGTTTTTTTACTGCTGCTGCTGCTGCTGCAAAAAAAAAAAAAAAAAAAACAATAATAACAGGCTCCTTAATACTAAAAGTAAAACTGACTGAACTGTTACGATTTAGAAATACCTTGTTAATATTTATTTGTAAATGTTAACGATTTGTAAAAAGTCACCCGGCATGGCCGTTTTAATATTAGCATAATATTATATTAGTATCGCACACTGGCGTAGACATACACGATATGAAATTTAAACACGTTTGTTTGTATTGACAATATGAAAAAAATAAATAAATCAATAATTTTTTTGTTGGGCAAGTCACAGAAATCGGTCCGTTGGTAAATTGTTTTTTTTTTAAATTATTGTTTTTAACTTGTGTTCCGCAAATACCGTTTTTTTTTCTCTTTTATATACACGAAATTCTGATTGGACTTTAATATCGTTAAACCGGATCATTTTTTTTTTTCAATTTTTCACTCATTTAAATTCATTTTTAATGATTTTCATTGCCGTTCCATTATATTCTTTCTTTCCCCCCCTCACTCTCTCTCTCTCTCTCTCTCTGCTTTCATTCTATCAAAAAAAAAAAAAGTAATTTATTCATAATAGTTTTGAATGTTTCCGCAATTTCGAAAACAATCATCTCGCTGATTCGCAGTACCTATACAGGTAATTTTATTTATTTATTTTACGAGACAACATTTTAGCGGTCAAAATAATTATTATACTATAATACAAACACAAAGGTACACGATGTAGGTAGGTACACATTGTATGACGAACAAATAATACGGACGATTTATTAATACGCGCAATTTTAGGCGCCAAAAGTCTCCGGCGGTCTCAGTTTTTGCGGCGGAACATTTTTTTTTCGTACGAGTTTTTATGCGCGTTCGATGTCAGTTCATTGGTTTTATTCGTCGTTTATTTGCCGACGAACTCTTATTGGGAACTACTGTACACGTATATCGCACACGGGCGTACACGTGTAGTATTGTTTTCGTTTCGTTAGCGCACATTAGTATCGCGTAATAATTTCCGACGGTTCGTATTTATTTGTTGTTTTCGTTTCGCGGTCCCGCCCCGCCGCATGACCCGCCGAAAAGTCTGGCCCGCAAACGTCTTAATCCGGAGGCTCGATCGCGGTTACGTTTTGACGATAATATCCGAAAACCGCGACGATAACGAACGACCGGGCGTTTTGCGCTAACGTACGATTTTGTAACGGTCTTCTATTATGTTACGCGGTACCGGCCGACGCGCGGCGTACCCGCGCGCGCTGCACATGCGTCCGGAATTAAGGAGATGTTTTTTACGACCCCTGAATGGTCGTCGATTTATTACACTGTTAAACCTTCGGCGAAAACACATATTGCCGACCGACTGTATTATGTACATTGTATACAATATGTATACGTATACGAGTATATAGTGTGTGTATGCAATACGCGCCGGCCGATATCGGTAAATCTCGGATAAGTTATTCGAAACATATACGTAAATTACTGTGTGGCGCAAAGGTCCTCTTCATTTTCCTACACGCGCGATATATTATTATTATGGCGTCCGTAAACATTGTTTTATCGTCAAACGTTTTATTACGGCGCGGCGGTCGTTGCGTAGGTTTAAAAACCTAATAAGTGTCGAAACATCGATTGTAAAACGAGGTACAAATATGACGTGTATACACTCCGTCGTACTCCGGGCAGACGGACGCCGTTGCAGATGGGAAATAATCTTTAGTTTGTAACAGTATAGTTGTAGGAGACGAAAAGTACAAGGTAAAATTGGCCGAAATACGTATTCGAATCACACATTCGATTGTGAAAAAAAATACGTCCTAGGATGCCATAGGAACAGATGCTACTGAGCTACAGAGCTACTGAACAGAGCTACTGTTATAGGTAATATTTTAGTGTACAGGTGTATACAGATGTAAGTAACGACAAACTATTGTTAGCGGAAAAATGATTCTGAACAGAGTTCAGTTGACAATGATGCTTTGTCAACAATATATAATACGTCATATTGTAGTATAGTAATTAAATAGGCTTGGCGCATTTTCTTCAGTAATATTTGTTTAATGTTGTAGAAAAAATTACCCCCCCCCCTCCCTAATAATAAACCTGTCTAGTCAAATTATCTTTTAGAAAAATTGCTAACATAAAATCGTAGTCAAATTGTTGGTGGAAAAGTTGTGCACAGAAAAAAAAAATAAACATCTTTGTAAAACAATAAATTTCTTCGCTTCGCTCAGAATCTATTATATGTGGATATTTCGTCAGACTTTCATTCAGTTCTTAGCCCTTGATATTATACTGAAAATAATAACAAACGTACTTAATACAAACATACATATGTTTTAAACGGGTTTTTTTTTTCACGTGATGATAAACTCATGCTCTGTTATATGTGTTATTGGCACATGTCGCATACAAGTAAAATGTCAAATTTTTTCCAGATTTTCGGACGTCCCGGTAAAAACATTTAAACGTTTCCAATGTTACATCGAATCCGTAATTTCGTATTCATATTTTTTTTCTTTTCTAACGTACGAAATATATACAAAATAATCGAATATGCGTTTTCGTTGAAAATCTTTAAATTATGCAAAAATATGTAAAAAAAAAAAAAAAAATAGTATGTATTTAAACTTTATGACATGTATCCTACATAATTTTTATTTTGGTGTGCTATAGAGCTCTATAAAAAAAAAAAAACCCCAAGTCCTATAACTTGTCTTCGCTAATTACAAATATACCCGTGTCGGCCATACCGAAAGCAACGATAAATCATATTTTAATCGTACACCGGAGATCGGTAATGAGTAATATGTCAAATATTTTTATTTTTTTTCCGACGCACACAGAATCGATACTTGAAACGTCGCGGACGGTTTTCTCTACGCGGGCACACTACGAGGTGTTCAAACGCCACGATGCCGCCACCTAAACGACCAATAGCGGAACAGTGTCCACTACTCTACCGAAACACACGAGGACCACGCCGCAAGGTCTCGACGGGTTTTCGCGTGAATCGTATTTTTATATGTTTTGAAATGATAATTAGTTCACGGGAAATATTGGACTGTAACGCGACGTTCCGCACACCATGGGTGCGTCGCGTATACGAAACTCGTCTTATTTGAAAACGCGATGACAATCGTTCACGTGTGTGTTATTGCCCACACGATTAATATTCACGAGAACAATAATACCGGCCAATATAATAGCAACGTGTTCGGCGAAACACGAACGTTTCTAGTGAAAGATACGAAATTCCGCGTGTAAAAAAGAAAAAAAAAAATGTAAAACACCACTGGGAACATATTATAATAATATTATGTATTACGTATGCGCATACGCTTAATATTATGTTATGTATTATATTACGCGATTACTTATCGATAGATTTAAATCGTTTTACTACTCCGTAATAATATTTATTATTATTCTATGCGCACAAAACGGATTATATATATAAAAAAAAAAATAAACCCGATAATGTTTGTACGAGTGCGTGTGGTTATTTTTTTTTTCCAAGGCGATTTGTGATACGGTAATATAATTTTTTACGGTATCGACGAGGCGAGAAGACGTAAACGATAAAATTACGGAGGTTTTTTTTTTTATTTTTTTATTTTTTACCCGTTGGAAAAGACGATTATTGACGTACGGAGCGGCGCCAACAACGATACATTAACATGTATGTACGTTAATACAGTGGTCCGGCGCGAGGTTTTTTTTTTTTTTTTTCGAATTCTCTCCGACGTTTAACTTTTCAATAATTACCGCGTTAAACATTAAGATTTTCCGCACCGATCTACACGGCCCGATACCCGTCCAGGGCGTAGTTCCGTCGTCTCATTAACCAACATCGATTGTCAAGTCAACGGGAAAATCTCGTTGGCTCTGTATCGACAAGATTACCGTCGATTCGGCTCGGTTTTCGACGATTGTAGTTTTTCTTTCGGCGCGATGCACCCCGCTGCAGTGGCGGCGCCGAGTTATTGAGAATCGGACATCCGGATTGTTTTATTTCATATTCGGTCGGGCAGGTCGTCGTCGTGCCGATCGATCGATCGCGGCGGTCCGTGGATATTATTGTTGCAACAATAACGAACGAGTCGGGCGACGAACGCGAACCGGCGATAAACCCGCGCGCGTGACATGACACGTGACTTGGGAGAGGTTATGGGAGTTATGGGTTACGGAGGGGGCCTAGAGGTAATGCCGCCTTCACGTCACGTCACGTCACACACGACGAGATAATCGCGTTCGAATGCCGAAAACGACTGAGGAGAGGTGTAGGGGAGGAATCGAGTGATGATGATCGAGACTCGTTTTCCCGGCCGGTCAACGGGAAGTTTATGAATTTAAAACCGCGAATTTCTCCGCGATAAATCGCTCGAATATAATAATAATGGTACCGTAATAGCGGGCAAATCGGAAAATAATGTCGGTGTCAAATTTCTATGGATGAGGTGGATGAGTGTTACGGCCCTAGGCTTTGCTCGTACCGTTTTTCGCCGCCCCCCCCCGCCCCTTGAACTCTATTCGAACTGGCATGGTGTAAGTTTTACATCGGTTCAAATTAATGCGGGGAGTTCACCTTTACCAATGGAACACGAAAAATCATTATCTCGCAACACTCGGAATAATATTGATAACAACGATAGGTGTTGGAAAACATTAAAAACTGTCGATTTTAATTAATTAGACTTTTATAATAACGTATTATTAAAAATAGCCTGTGTACAATACCCGTAAGCAACAATAAACCATTGTTTACGAAAAAACGATTCTGAACGGAGTTAAGTTGATAGTGATGCTTTATCAACAATATATACATGTCACATTATAGTAAAATAATTAAATAGGATTTATATATTTTCTTTAATAATATTTGTTTAATGTTGCACCGATTTTCTCAGTTTTCCTTGTTTTTTTTTTCGGTTTTTCATATTTGATGAGAAAACTATGATTTAATATCGATTTATCTATTTTTACGAGTATAGTGATAAAAACCGTCGCGAAAATCTTGTGGGCCGCTGAGCTTGAACACTCGTACAGTTTTTCGAGATGAAATACATTACACCGGGACAGTACAAACACATACGACTGGTAAATGCAATACTCTAACGGCACCAAGCGCACTCGGTGCAATGGGAGTATTGCAATTGAAAAATAGTAACATTAGAAATTAATTTTAAAATATAAATGATATTATGAACTAATATTTTGTTAATATGTATTTCGTTTATGAATACGGCAATGCTAATTAAAAATGCGTCCATTGATATTTCACCATCAACCACACTAGAGCACAAGTTCTTTAAACGTTCACCGATGTTACCGAATTTTCGTCGTTTTGATACTGGAATAGTCTTGCCTAATTCTTGCAACGCTATTTTAGCCCGAACTGCTCCTAAATCTTTCCGCGTTTTAATAATTGACTTCCATACGGTTGGATGCGCGTGTCCGACGAGATGCGTAAAACGATTGTTCCAACCCTGGTGATTATTTTTAGTACGACGTTGACAGTTTTTCGTAGCCTCATGAACGTTCTATTTTCCTGTTGGAAAAAAAAGATTTGTTTTATTTCAATTTGATATCCACAGATTTTCCTGACTTTCTATAATAGTCATATTTGACGTACGTGGAATTCAAAGTGATCTCAATGCTATCTTTGTTGCATATTGTCTTTCCAACACGCCACATTAATTTTCTATCTATATTCGTAAACAAATTATTACTAATGTTAATTGTATCAGTATTAATAATTTTCAATTGTATTACTTTAATTATTATTCATATTATTTTACCCTTCATTATTTATATTATTTATAAATTAAGACTTTTTCTTATGAAAAAAAAAAAGAAAAAAAAAATATTAAATAGGACTACTTTCCCGCAATTCCGTACAACTAACTGGAAACCGCCAATAGCCGTCGTCACTATACTCTTTTTTTTTTTCCCCCGTCTGGTTTTCGATCTAGACGAAACACTAGATCGATAATCTGTTGTCGACGCCTCGCGCACCTGTAGCCATGGTTTGTCGGTTTTCTGTATAGGACGCGTCGAGACGAGGCGATCGTTTCACGAAGAACGCCGAGGAAGTGCAGGAAGTCGAGGTTTCTCGTGCTTAATCGTAAAATTATTGTTTTGACGAAAAGAGACTTTTTCAATAGCCTGCGGGCGGCGGTTCGACTGTAAATCCTCTCCGCGAAATTACACCGCGTCATCGTCGTCGTCGTCGTCGTCGCGCGCCGCTCGCGTTATTTATCTCGCGCGGCAAAAGCTCTTTTGTTTAATCATTGGATTTTCAAACGGATAAATTATTATTGTAGTTTTTCCGAAGCGCTTCTTTCCCCCGTCTCGTCGAAACGCATCGCTTCACACATTTCTCTACGGGTATAACAGACGTCATGCATCAGACCCTCGTCCTCGGTGGCACGGTATAATGTACAGGGCGGTTATAAGTGGCTGTATGATAATATATTACGTTACGAGGGTCATCGGGGCGTAGTGATGATTCAGGAAACTGCAAACAGCGTTGTGTGTGTGTAATGTAAATACCGGTAAGAAACGTTCGTTTAATTTACCGCTAAATCGAGTAAACTGCAGTTTTATTATAACCGAAATTGGACAAATAAAAGAAGGAGTCGTACCTACCGTGAGGCTTGAAAAAGAATTGCTTCCCTTGTAATTGTTGAATTCAAACTAATTAAGGCCGTTAAGAAAAATTATAGAAGTGGTGCGCTAAAACATTTTCAGAAGAGAAGTGGTATTCCATCCGCTGCGACCCCCCCTACCGATTCAAGCACTGATTATAACAGCGCGTCTACCAGTCCTCCGGGCTAACGTTCTCCGTCGTAACGTAGGCAACCCCAGTACCGCCGCATTGGAATTTTCAAAATTTTTTTTTTGCTAATATTTAACACGTTATTGTAATTGACTTTGCGTAATTCGCACGCGTTTCAATTAGGCGTGGTATCAAACACTAGGTCGGGGGGGGGCTGTAGACACGTTCCTCTACACCCCTCCCCCGCACATCAAAGTCGCTTCTTTTCAAGATCCGTACAAGTCTACGGTTAATATGCATATACGTAATATTATACAGGTATGCGCGATCCAATAAACACGAAACGTTTCGTTTTCTTTGCGTGTACGCGCCGCGCTTTCGACCGCGCGCACGTACGCACGCTTTTCACGACAATGGCTCCGGTAATGATGACAAAACGGAACGCTTTAATATCGCGCAGCACGCGTCATGTGTACACTCTGCCCGGAGGACGGCGACGGCGGCAGACACCACGTCGGCGGTGACGACGACGCGCAGTGACTAACAGCAGTAGTCGCGGTATTCATTAACTCCGCCGCGGAGACGATGACGGACACGGAGGGCACCGCCGCCGCTACCGTTCCCGCCGGATCGTTATTGTTACGTTAAATAATCCTTTTGTTTCGGTTTTTTTTTTTGTTTTTTTTCTTTCTCTATAATGTCTGCTTCTCTCGTTTCCGTACTCGCGTGTTTTTACCGGTCTCCTTTTACCCGGGCCGGCTTTTCGTCGTCATCCGCCGCAATACGCACGATACGCATTACCCTCCCCTTACCCCCTCCTTTTTCTCGTGAAAGCGGTTGCGAAAAGCGAGCGCGGATACAATAACCGTAGCTATTCGCTCTCGGGAGGAGGGGAGAGAACGGGACACACAAGGTAAATCCGACGCGGGGGCCTCCCTCGTCTTCGCCCCCGCTAAAACACGTACCGGATCCGCCGAATCTATTTCCAATCACTATTCCTCAGGCCCGCAAGGATTGAGACGTGAACAGTGTACGCTCGTCCGAAATCGAGAGAACAAAAAAATTGTTTTTTTGATTTTGGCCGCATGCTATATGATAAACCCTAGGAAAAAAAACGACCTCCCCGATACACCGATTAGATCAGAAATGCAACGGAATACGGTACCTTGATTTTTTTCGCGATAGGAGAGAGATTTGTGATAGTAGAGTTGTAAACAGAGAGAAAAAATCTCCAAACACACTCGAAGAATACATCAAAGATGATTATTTCTAAACTATATTAATTTTCGAAATTGTTGATCGAATTTGTAACACGAATTTAACTAAAATAATAACGATCAGTTTAATAATAAAAATAAGTAGAAAAAATCTATTTTCGTGGAGCAATGAGAACCGGCTCTTCGCGGTGCCTCCGGGTCACTCTTGTTTTCAAAATATACTTGAGATGGGTAGAGAAAAGATTTTCGCGGGTACGAACCTATTTCGATGTGACGGAAACGAAAATAAAATGTTTGGCAGAAACGACGACCGTCTAATCTGTTGGTCGGTCGGTGAAAGTAGGGAGAGTAAACAAACTTGTAAAGGAGAGAAAACGCAACCGCAGGTGACGTAGTATTCATAAATCGCGAAAAATCGGCGAAAAAGAAAAAAATTGTTTTTCTCCGCGAATACGCTTTTCATTTACGTTTTCGGTTTCGGTTAAACTATCAACATCGCTCACGTAATATTGAATGTTTAAAACCGTCCTGATTTCGCCGACCGCGAAACCCCTGAACTTTGGTTTTTTTTTCTGTTTCCGATTCTGGTTACCAGCCTTTGCTACACAATAGGGGACAAAACGATTTCGATGTTTTTCTACTACACGGCCATAACGACTATACGAAAGATAACTTTCGTTTAAAATGTCGATTAAATGTTCGATCGACACGAACGATTTAATATTCAACTCGCCCGGTCCACGCCGCCGTACATCGTAATATTATTATTGTTTAACGTATTTCCACGGAGGTGGTTTTTTTTTTTTTTTTATATGATTTTTTTACGACACGACCTCGGACGTCGGCAATTCAATACGTTTTGTTCACTATTAAAACGGTGCACGGAAATAAATGTACACAATTATCGGAGTGCCGTCTTCTTCTCTCGGTTAAATACCTGCGCTGTACAATCGGTACAATAATAAAAAAAAAAAAAGCGAATCGCGTGAAATAATCTCGCGTCGAGGGAAATTTAATTCCAGACCCGTATATACATACGTGCGTTATAAAACACAGGTATGCACGTTTTGAGTATCGATTTTCATATACGGAAATTATATTATTATAGGCCCGATCCGTGCACTTTTACGGTTGCGGCGGTGTTGAACGATTGCGTACTCCCCCGGAATATTTTATTTATCGAACACTGGCGGCGATAAAAATAATACGGGTAGGTATAACCTTTACTCTAGACCGTTACGCATATATTGTGCGTGTGTGTGTGTTTGTGTGTATAACACAACGTACGAATGTTTTAAACCGCGGCCGGTGTATAGAAACAGTGAGCGTTCAAACGAATTATGTATTTTGCTTTTTTTTTTTTTTTTTTATCAATACACCGATACGCGTCGATTTATGTTTGAAAACGTCGTTTTCAGTCTTTTATTTTCGGTTCGCCGGAGTGCATGAAGTCGGTTTTTTACAAACGGCGGCGAGTAAATAACGATACGTATAATATAATTCGTATTTGCACGCAGTTTCCGAGAACGCGACAGAAGTTCGTAAATCCATAATCAAAAAACCGCAAACACCGTAGCAACTTTATCAGTATGGAAAGGTACGTTCGAAAACAGGACCAGGAGCGGTTGCGGGATCCTGTGCTATATACGTGTGACACGGCCGCCCGCAGTGTCCGCCGCGTAACCGACGCATATTTTCCCCAAACCTCTTTTTTCGCCGTCATCCGGTTGCGGGAGAGCCTGCGCTACGCCTGCAATAATACATGGCCGACCCGTACCGGTGCCGATCCCGTGCGCCGGGTACCCGGGCGTCACGTGCCGTACTTTGACACGGCCGCCCGAATCGTCCACCTCTTCGCCGGCCTATTTCGACCGCGCCTATAGTTTTTCAAATATTTTTTTTTCCCAAATATTTTTTTTTTACATAATTATTGTCGACTAAGTAGTATTACACGGTATACGTTGTGCGCTCCCACAATTCCCCTTTACACGACTCTTTAACAGGCAATTATAAATTCCATTAACAATATCGTGTAATTTATGAACTACTACGCCATAATTATTTTAACATTATTTTTCATACACGCATGATGTTTGTATTGTTTGTCGGTAATCGGGTAGATATTTTGTTAATTTATGAAATACACGCGGAGAAAATATTTAATCGTTACTATTGTAAAACTCTGGAGTGCAAAGACGGGCCAGGATTAACGTAAAGGCGAGGTAGGCAAGGGTTATTTTATTTCTAGTTATACAGAATAGCATCCCAAAATTAAGTCTATTAAAATTAATTAAACGATATTGAATAATTTCTAATTTTCAAAACTCATATCACTCGCAAGTTATAAGATAATTTCACAACTAAATTTATGTTATGTTTATACCGTTGAGATGACTATATAATGGTACATAAACAAACATGTGCCTAGGGCTATTATCGGGCTTAATTCGGACCTGGATAAAGTCCCCCCCTCCATAGCACCTCCCTAATTGTGAGCCTATGACCGAGACAAATTGACTTCCGAAAATATCCACTATTGCTTTATATTTTGATCGTTTCCCGCATTCCGACGACCGAGCTAAAATTCGGGAGTTGTAGCGTTAGAATTTGCAGGGTTGAATTTCAATACAAAATTGACCGTGCCGTCGCGGGCGAAGAGTGTTTTTCTTTAGCTTTGTACGCCCTCACGTGTTTCTCAAACGGAGCCAGGGGTACGCCATCGTGTGTACGCGTGGCAGTATAGTGATAACGATGTTGTTTTTCTTTGGGGGGGGGGGGAAGGATTCAATTTTCAACCCTCACTGTTACCGTTTTTACGATCAAGTTTCATATTTTTGTTTTCATTTTACTAGTAGTGTATTATAATAATGACTGTGGTATACTGTATAATTAAGTATGGTATTATTATTATTGTATAGCGGTATTCGGTTATTTGTATTGTTCTTTCAAAGAACGTATTTGTTATACAAAAAAAAAAAGGCGGGAAAAATTCGACTCTACATCGTGAGCGACGGACCTCTGTAGCTCCCCCGCACGGACGTTTACATATTACGTTATAGAATTTGTTAGGTGACGTTTGAAAACCTCTTTGCCGGGCCAAAAGATCGCGATACCGTTTTAACAACACCGTCTCGATTTTTACACCGTCGAAAATAACGTTCCGGAGCTGACCTGTACGTCGTAGATAAGACTTTAATGTAGTTCAACGAGGGTGTGTGTTCTATAGCCGCAATTCCTATATATATATTATTATGAGTGACGAAAAGCGGCACGAACGTCCAAAGGGGACTGAGAGAGAGAGAGAGAGAGAGAGAGAGAGAGAGAGTGAGAGAGAGAGAGAGAGAGAGTGAGAGAGAAAGAGAGGATGACTGTGAAGGGGCAAGGGGAGGATATATACTCGGACATTTTTACACGGAGCTCGCGTGTCATCCCGGTAACTTCGCAGACCGATTAATCACAAACGCGTTGTAGGTATACGCGAGGTTGACTGACATTTGAGCAATCGATTTTTACACAAAGAACGTGTATATACAACCTATACGTATAGGTATTTTTCATTTTTCCAACAAGAACACGTCTGCAATATATTCCTATATACATATTAGTGTATGTAATATTATGGTGATTTTTGTGATTCGTATCCGTTGAATAACTTATGGATAATATACACAGTAAGGGGATTTTTTTTATTTTTATTTTTTAAACGAAATATTAACTTTTTTCAAATCTAATTCAAATCGGTGGCGTAGCTGTCTAACGGTGATTGCATAGGAGCCACTAGAGGGATGCAACACCACCGAGTTCGAAATTGGCACCCTCAAAAATTATCCGATAAGATAGTACATTATCTCTGTGTTTTATAATTTATAAGCAGAACAAAATACATTTTACCTATACAGACAGTGTACACCGATTATAATTAAAAAAGTTATGATGTACCCTTTTGTATAAAAACAATTTTAAACGAAATGTGTAATTGTTTATTAAAAGTGTCGTGAACAATAGATTGTGGAGGCATTTCCCTCTCGTCGGTCCGTGGTGATGTGTCTATAATTTTAACGCTCTCGAAATCGGTGGTCTACTGGTCTAATCGCGTTTGTGTAGAGGAAACAATCTCCCCGGAACGTCAAAATTATAACAGTTTACATTTTTATCGTTTTCAATAGGTATATCGTAATAAAATATCATGACCGCGAGAAGTGTTCGGAATAAATAAAACATGATACAACGTACGAAAAAGCTCGACTTCGTACCGGGTTATACGGGGCGCCAAACTCATGTCGGAACGCTTAAATCCCTATAGTTATACGCCACCGATTTAAACGGCGGCATACGACGGAAATTTTCGGATATAACGCCTGAAAAAAAAAAAAGAAAAAAAAATTACCCGTATAAAACCGTTATGTTTACGATCGGCTTAACAAAATTATTGTATTAAAGTAGCCTGACGCGTCCGAAATCCGGATTTGCGTCACATCAACTAATTAAAACCCGCGATACGAACCGACACAGCAGCCAATCACAATACCGATAGTACTGTTATTACAATATTCTAGGCGTCGAAAACGAAATCGATCGATCGGTGACTCGGGAGTACGCCGGGCATTACACGGTTAAATCCCGAATGAAATAACCACGTTATTCACTTCCGAGGACGACATAAACCGCTCGCCGGACCCGTTTAAAATAGAAGAGAGAAAAAAAAACGGTCTGTAAAGATTCCCCGCACGCGATAATAATCATATTATCACTGCGACACGGATGTAAATATCCGTCGGGTCGAATAGTGACTGTGTACTTCGCGCGTTATCGCGTTGTCGTATCGCGGGCGTACGTATTACAGTGATCATCATCGAAAACCCGCGGGTTTTCGAGGTAGAAACGTGTTTGACCGTTTTCGACGAGTTTTTTAAATACTCATAAAAAAAAAAAAAATTTTTATCCATTACGATCGTGAAACGTTTGGATTCACGTGCATACATATATATATATAGTTTAACGCGCGTAGTTTTGCGTTTGAAACGATTCAATTATGTCGCGTGGAAATTCGGCTATTCGTTTTCGTTTTACCATGATACCAGGTGCTTTTACAAAAAAAAATATTTCTAGGCGGCGGGAGGAGGGGGAGGGTTAAGGTTATACGCATTCGTACTGTTACAACAAAGAAGTTTAGATAGTTTTCAATATTGTAGAGTTATTTATTTTTCATTAAAAATTTTAAAATTTCATGGCATTCATTTTTAGCCTTTTAGGCGTCTATTACTAATTTTATATTTGAAGTTTTAAGAGTGGGGCCAATATTATTGTACAGCCTAGACTATAACGTAATTAATATTATTGCACGCCCACATCAGTTACAACATTCTAAAAGCTCGAAAACCGCAACGAATTGGAAATGACAATAGTATTTATCTTCCTCATTGATAGGACCACTTTTGAGACTATTAAAAATCGACTTCTATCATAATTTTCATGGAGTTCTTAATTCCCCCCCCCCTCCTTTGTATACGCGCCTGGTCTATCCAAACGCATTTAATATTCGAATCGATAATTGCACTAAAACGCAATAATTGTTAAACTATTTCTAGTTATGTTTTTTATTCTTATGGCATAATTAATCGTTTAACTCGATCGGTCTTGTAGATACGGGTAAACGGTGGTAGCGCTGCGGAACCGCGGGAAAAAGTCGTCAAAATCGAATTCTCGGAGTTACACCGTTCCGATTATTGTGCGATACCGTAAACCACGCACGTTCCAGTGGTTTTTAGGGGTATTACCGGAGAAACTATCGGGGGGATGGGGGGTGTGTTTTTTGTTTTTTTTTTTTTAACGCACGATATAACTGCGGATAGCGTACCGCGCCGATTCGATTATTGGCGCGTTCGCGTCAAAATTGTCAAAAGTAAATAGATAATTAAAGACGTCCGAATAAAAGAAGAAAAAGTTTTTTTCCTCGTCCGGGAACACCGGTCGGTGTACTGATGTATACATTTACCACCCGACTTACACCCGCGTGGTGGGTGCAATCATAACGGATGATCGATTTAATAACGACGTCGGCGTCGGAGACCATACACGCGCGCACCTATGCGCGTACGGAAAATAACGCGGTCTAAATTTTTGATAAAAACAAAAGTTTCTTTATACTTTAATGAAATTCACTTTTCTCCGTCGTCGTCGTCGCCGTCGTCACGAATTAGTTCGCCGTGCGCGGGAAACTTTGCCGCGAATTTCCCCCCCCCACCACCACCACCACCACCACCCGGTCCCGTCGCCGGTAATTTAAACGTTAATAAACTTATACGAAATTACCGTACCGAATCGATACCGCGGGCGGCGATATCCCGAACGGACGAACTGGCAACACGAATGTCGTCGCACGGAATCGCTCGTGCTATTAAAATGTGCCGCAGTGGACGGACGCCACTTACAACAAGACTCGCGGACGTGAGGTTCGGTCGCCGTTATTACGCTGAAAATCGCTCGGAACGTTCCGGACCGCGGACTACGGTATTATAACGGACCGGTCGCGGCGCGGCGCGGACGGGCGACAAGGGACGGACAGCAAAAGTTTCCTATCTTATCGCCAACGCTTTACTGTAGATGAAAAAAGACGGCGTCCTAGGATCATGGAGCCGCTGTCACGGGCAATTTAACGTACATCTGTCAGAAACGATAAACGATTGCTAACGAAAAAAAAAACAAATTCTGAGCGCAGTTCAGTCGATAGCGATGCTTTGTCGACCGTATGGTAGACGCATGCCATGTTATGATTAAATAATTGAATACGAGGCGTTGTATAATAGGCATTTTCTTTATGAGAAAAATCGAAAAATTACCCCTAAACCTTCTCAGTGAGATTTCCATTCAGAAAAAGTGCTATCATTGTAAATCGGAACGGAATTGCTGGTAGGAAAGTTGTACAGCGAAAAAAAGGATGTCGTAGTATTTTTTAATTAATACCTACATTTTGTACATTTTCGGTTTTTCCGACATTTTATCCCGGTTTTTCACGGGTATTATGAAAACCACTTGAAAAATCAAAAAATGACCTCCCTTACGAACCATTAGATGAATTTCCTTTCAGAAAATAAGCTACACCTGATACATCGGAGCAAGATTTCTGGTATAAAAGTCCGCACAATAAATTGAGGGGTATTTTGCGATTAAAACAGTCCGAGAGAGCGATACCTTGGGTTTCTAGATACATACAAAATTAATTCGTTTTTTCCTTGTTTACGTAAAAGGGGACACAAAATACAAATAATTTTGTTCGAAACCGGGGTTTGAACTCGCTACCCCTAAGATAAACAAGAAGTATGTGCATCCATTAGATCATGAAAGACATTCTTTAAAAAAGATAACACGGAGTTAATTAACACAACATATATTATCCGTATAATATCAGAACTTTAAAAAGCTATAATTTCGAAACTTATTCAGTCTGCTCAACAGTGGCTTCGCCATCGATTTTAAATCGACAACATACATATGTTAAAAGAAAAAAAATCATATTTTGATATTTAAATTACTTGAAAAAAAAAATACTACATTAAATTCAAATTAGTTTTTCGTTAAGACTTTTAATGAGCCTTCTGTTAAATGATTAGGCATTTCTGTCTATTCTAACAACTTTACGTACAAATAGTTCAAATTTTATGAGAATATTACCATGTCATCTAGAAAAGGCGAATCACGACAAATAACAAAATTCAACACTGCTGGGTAAATCAAAAAAATGACATCCCTAAAGTACCAAAGAAAATTTCCTTTCAGAAAAAGTCTACATCGGAGCAAGATTTCTGGTAGAATTTGTGTACATATCATGTGTATAAAAAAAAAAAAGAATTAATATCTTAGCAATATCAATAATACATTCTTCGCTACAATCAGAATCTAAAAAAACTACGATTTCTTTATTTCAGCTAGCAAAATTTAATCCAAAAGCTCGGAAATTAACAATAGTTAATAATATTATACGCTAACTGTTAGTCAACGGATGGCGTACGAAAATTGTTGGTCTGCATAATTGCCGTCCCCGCACTTGTCTCTTATTATAATTTGTAGCCACTGATAAACTGCTCGTGACCAGTCCATTACATCTTAGTCCGTGGTCCGGACACATAATGTTATTATTATGTTAAGCGACCGGCTAATGATCGCCGCGACAATAACGACTGCTCCGTTTTTGGTTTTTTCGCTCGCGCGAATGTTTTACCGGAAGACCGGTAAAACATTCGCACGGTTCAAACGGATATATTATAATGATTATTTTGTTTCCCCGTCGAATTATTATTACACGACACAATATATTATAGGTCCTCGGGGAACGTTACAGAACTGTACTATGCTAAATAGGCGAGGCCCGAGCGTTTGTTTTTTGTTTCAGAAGACGTCCGCTCCCCGTCTTTTAAAAAAGAGCTCCGCGAACCTTCCCCTAAAATTTCGGACATCCCCTCCCCACCCAAACAGCGGCGAGAGTTATTTTGTTCCGTATTAAATATAATGTTTTGTTACACGACTTTACTGTGCGGTGTGTGTCCGTTAGGACGTGGGAACTTTAAGGTTAAAATGCCCCGGAGGTCAATCGACCCGATTTACGCGATAAAAAAAAAAAAAAAAACAACGACCAAAATCCCAGGAAAAAATAATTTATTTTCGCGCGGCTATAGGAAAAAAACCAAAAAAACAAACGATTAGAAAATTTTGAGAAAAAAATATATTTGACAGCATAAACAATATGACGTAATCTTTTTTCGATTGTGCGATAGTTTTCTATCCCCGCCTACGTACCGAAAACGATAACGTCGCAGGATTTTCGTTGTTTTATTCGAACCGTGCGCAAAACGGACAAAAACCGTGGACAATTATTTAGTCGTCTGAAAAAAAAAAAAAAAAAAAATGAAAAAAAAAATGTAACGCTTTAATCTTATAGGCGAGAAGTTTATTCGGTTCGGCCCTTTACTAGGTAGGTATACCTACGCCACCGCCGCCGTGCCGTTAATCAAAGTTTTAGCTCTAGAAAAGATAACGGCACAAGAGTAATTATAATTTAAATTCGCCTAATATAATTTATATCCCCCGGGGAGGTAGAAAGCCGTAACTTTTAGTGACGTGGAAAAAAAACCCCGTTCGCACTCGGGGGCGCAAAAAAAAAAAAAAAGAAACAAACAACATATTATTATATGGGCCCACTAAAAACTAATATAATCGCGCGTAGGTATATTAGAAAAGTTAATTATTATTTGTTGGACAAAAAAACACAAAGTAGGTTTTTTTTTTTCCGTGCCTGTTATACACAGACTGTTATAATAATATACCTACCCCGTGATTTTATTCCGGATTATTTATTATATACGTATACGCTGCGCACTGTTATCCGTCGGATTTATCGATTTCCCGGTGTTATAAAGCGATCGTCGTCGTGAGAGTCGCGTACGGATAATTTCGTTTCCTTTTTCGAATCGTGCGCGGGCCATATTATACGTTTTGAAAAAAAAAAAAACACGGCTAGATCCTGCGATATATAATATATTTCTTAGCGCAGTCTTCGCTCGGGTTCTGAAAATTGAGTATTTCGATTGATTTTCAACGGGGAAATTAAAACCGAACGAACACAATTATCAGCCGTCTGTTTCTGTACTAGCTGCTAGGTGTACGCTGTAAACTGTTTTAAACTGCATTGCCCCGTACGCGTTTATTCGAGTGCTACTGCAGTACGCATTCAATAAATTCCACTTTCTTAACGACACAACAAAACCGCGCTGAACGGTGCATGAAACATTATTATATAAACGTCCCTGAAATATACTTAACAATCATAAAATACCGTTTACCGTAGACGGTCTTTAACTGCAACGAAAAATATAATACGGTGCGGCTTTTGCGAGGCGAAAATCCGAATAATATAAAAAGCTACGCACGTAACACGAGGTCTCGATTAAATCCACGAAGTCCGTGAACGTCGCGTGAACGAAAAACTTGTCCGCGAAAAACGAATCCGTTATCCGTGTTCACGTGTAACCGTGAATGATTACACGTGTACACGGATTTTTCCGGTTCACGGTTTTACAAATGCTAACGTCTGTTGAATACGTGGATCCGTGTACACTGTAAAACGGAGAGCGTAAGGTTGTAAACTATTCAAGTTTTCGAACACAGGGTGTCCGCAAATACGATAATATGATTATTCTAAGAAACGAGTGGTTCTTAAATGTTACATCGCCGTTTTTTTAGGCGCCTTTAATTTTTTTTTTTTTTTTGAAAGAGGGAGAGGTGAACCGATTATATACTTAAAATTTTCAAACCGCGATCTTCATCGGAAATGCCGTAAATAGACGGGTTAGCATATTAAATCCATTCGTCAACCGGTCGACGGAAATCAAAAATGTCAACACCGAAATATGTGTTTATACTCGGTATATTTATGGAGTTTTGTAAATACAGGTTGCCGTTTGAAAACCAAAAGCAGGTAGTATCTGTTCCAGTCACGAAAATAAGAGTGATCGAAAGAAAAAAAAAAACAACGGTAACGTGACATTTTAGACAACAGTCCGTTTCTTAAATTGTGAGAAAAAAATAATTACGAAAAACGTTAACGCCGTTCGAAATACCGTCGACGATCACGACGTCGGGACACTCTGTATACACGCATTACACGCACTACAATAATAAAATCGGAGATATTTTGTTTTAAATTCGCATTTAGGTACACACGGTTATGCTTAAACTGAGTCGTTTGAAAAACATGCGCGGCCGTTTTCTCGTTTTAATAACACGGTTTCTCTCGTATTTCTTTAATTCGCGAGTATGAACGAAAAAAAAAAAAACTAGCACGAAAGGGTTGTAACGAAGGACAGCGCAAATGCCAATTAAGACTGTTGCATTATACCAATTAGTAGAGTGGTTAACGATTAAAAACCAGAGGCTTTTAAGACAATGGCGCGCGCGCGGTTCAAAAGTCGACAACATAATAATATATATATACATACATCTAACGGTGGCGGCGGTGGCGTTTTATTTCTAATTCTTTTTCTTACGCACTTATATATTAAACGCATTGAAAGAGTTTTAAGAGATTTTCGAAACATTAAGAAAAAAAAAAAAAACCAAACCACCCTAGAATAATGAAACGGGTGCAGCCCCGCTGTTATAGATAATTTAATGTACACCCGTAAGCAACGATAAATTATTGCCTACGAAAAAAAAAACGATTCTGAGCGGAGTACAGTTGACAGTGATGCATTGTCAACGACATAAACGCCACATTATAGACAAGCAATTAAATTGGCTCTATATATTTTCTTTGATAATATTTCGCGTAATGTTGTACCGATTTTCCCGGTTTTTCACATTTGCAGGGAACGCTCTTGGGAAAATCGAAAAAACGTACATCCTAAAGTACCTCCCCTGTCAGATTTACTTTCAGAAAATGTGCTACACGTAGAAACCTGAGCAAGTGTTCTGGTAGACAAACATATTTGTAAAACCATAAGCTTCTTCGCTCCATTCAGAATCTAAAATCTAAACCATTTTCGTTTTCGTCTTTTTGCGATTTCACTGTTAACCGAATGCGTTTGGAAAAACATGATGCTGTTCTCTTTTTCCAATGGCGTCCGCGCGTATATGATTTTAAAATGGGAGCAGGTCGCTCCGCAAGTAACGCGTATTTTACAGTTTTACACGACACGTCAACACGTATAATTTTAATTTAATGTTCGATTAAAAATTATTTCTTTTGGCTTTATTTTGATAAAGGATATTATGTTTATTTGATTACACAATGAGACGTTTGCGCTTGCATTTGATTTGATAATTTCACAAAATCTACGGTGTATGACGACAAAGATAATTGCGAGCTATCCTCAAAGTGTATACTGGCCAAACGCGATCGGTGTAGAATTTCGTTTTTCATAGTTGTTTATTGATTTTATTTAGTTATTATTAACCTTATTTTAGTTTCCGACCGAAGTGAAGAACGTATTAAAAATATCTATTAAAAATTCTATCAGAAATCTTGAGTAGATTTTCAAGCACAGCGGCTTTTTCGAAAGGAAATTTTAATATTTTGATTTTCTAAGCAGTTTTTTTTTATAATATTGGGGAAAACGTAGGAAAAACGGGAAAATTTAAATTTACGAAAACATGATTTTATTATTTTCAATTTTGTATTTTGTTTTTGTTGTAATTCAGTTTAAAATATTCGCGGCGACAGGAATCTTATATTTGCCTTTTGTAAACGTGGTTAAAACGTTCAAAATATTTAAGCTATTTTCATGATATTTAAAGGCAGTTTAAATTTGCGAGTTTTTTGCGTTTTTTACTTAGTCGGTGTATGTACAATGTGGATAAAATCGTTAGACCGAAACGCTTGAAAATTTAACGGAATTTAAAATTCGAAAATTCGATTGAAAAAAAGACGTCCTACGATAATGGGGACGGGCGCAACAACTGTCACAGGTGATTTAACGTGTAATTTCGAGCAAAGATAAACCGTGCTGCCAACGGAAAAAAAAACGATTCTGAACGGGGTTCGTTTAACAGTAGTGCTTTGTCAACAATATAATGTATTAATGCCGTGTTATGGTAAAATGATTTATAACAATGTGCGTTTCCGTGACAACGATAATTGTTTGAAAAAGATTACGATAATAAAAACTTAATAATCACAAAAAATAATTAAGAACGGTTGCCATTGGCAACCTTATTTCAGATTCCGAGCGTAGACGTTATTTCTTTTTCTTAATTCCAGGCTGTGGACACGTTTTTCCCTAGTAAACTTGCTTCGATTTTTACGCGTAGCCACTTTTCCGGAAGCTCAAATCGTCTAGATCGTAGTTTAGAGAGATCTCAGTAAAACCGACACATTCTCGCCACGTTCAGAATCCGATAGTGTAAACAATTATATACAACCGACCGAACGGGCCGGTCTCGTTTTATTTACGCGCGTCAAGTGTCGGCTGGAGATTATTGATCGGCGATTTTCGTTCGCACGACGATACGGAACCCGGTCTCCCGGATCCGTCCTGATCGCGAAAATACCGGACTGATAAATTTCGCCGGCCCTCGTACGGTCGCACGCATCAAAAGCGAACGCACCACGACCGAAAACGACATTTGAACGCCGCCACCCCCTCCCCCCCACATCCCCCGAAAAACACCGACCCTACGTGTGGTCCGCCCCTCGAGCCGGGCCCGGTAAACGGATGACAATGTCGCGACGGACCGCGACAACTACGGTAGTGCTGACGATAAACCCGCGCGGTCGAGTTTCGAAATTCGCACGCGGTGTTCCGGCGCACGATGGCACGCGAATCGCTCAAGGAGCCGAATCGAGACGACATAAAAAAAAAAAAAAAAAAAAAAAAAAAAAATATCGATCGATCGATTTTCACGATCCCGTTTCGAACAGTTCCACGTCGTAATATCACACGTCACGTCGCGCATAGTTCCCGTGTGATAATAATAACGTCATCGTCGTCTTAAAAACGGATTTTTTTTTTTTTTTTTGGTTTCGTTTTCGGTCGGACATAATAATTGCCGTTACAAGTCAATAAGAGTCGCGCGTTTTAACACAAATAGCGCGCACTCGCGATTACTTCGGCCGCGATATGTCATCGCTGGTTCCGGGGTAGTTTTCGGTATTATTTTGTTTTTTTTTTTTTTTCTGTTTTCTGTTTTCGTTCTAAAAATATAATGTCGTATTGTTACGCGTAACGCTAGCTTAGCTAGCCCGCTGTACCCCGTCCGGGCCGCTTTTTTTTGGGGGGGGAGGGGAAATTTAAATTCGTTTCGCCGAAACCACGAAAACGTATTATTATTATTTTTTTTCCAAAATATTTTTACTTTTTATGGTCGCGGCGTTTCGCAATTGCCGCGCCACCGAAACCGAATAGAAAATAATACGTTTAAGCCCGAAACCCGTTTTTTACCGGGTCGGCACGGAGATTCCGATAGCGCGAGAACACCCGCCCGTAAAACACGCGTTACCGATTGGTCCGCTATAGTTTTCGCGTCTATTTGATCACAGATTTACACCGACATCCGTTATTTGTGTTATACGTGTAAGGTATACGGAATTACTAGCGTATTCGCAATTATTATTACACAGTTAACCCGCTTACGAATGTATTATTACTACAATCACCGACTTACTTGGCCCGGCAAGTATTCTTAACAATTGTTGTACAAGGACGACCGAATTACCACGATCCGTCGATTTCTCGGAGGAATTTAAGCGAATTGGATTTCTATTTGTTTGCTGGTGTTTTTTTTTTCAATCGTTGTGGAAAAAAAATTGAATGTTTTATTCTTAAGGTAATTCGATTATTATCGTACACTCACCCTCCGTTTTCAAACACGGATCCGAATAGGTAATACAATGCTCACCTAAACATTTCGGTATAATACGTCTAACCGCGGTAATATCGGATTTACCGTTTATGAGTTACAAACAGTTTAAAATTTAGACTGGAAAAATTGGAATGGGTGTAGAATGTCATGTCCACTCTTTAGACGATCGATTCGATTATTTATCGATTTTGTATGTTTTATATTTAAACGGGACGGACTCAATAACAGTTTGTACATAGTTAGTATATTTGCAACTTGTCTTTCTGTATGAACAGAATGACATTAAAAATTTGTCACAAAACAATCAGAATATAAATTAATTTTCTATAACAAAAATAATAATTATATCCAAGTAAAATTAATAATATAATCACGAGAATAGTCAAACAAATGGAAATTTAAAAAATCGACCTGGAAGTCATTGTAGCCAATCGCGTTAATCTATTTATGGGCGAAACGAGTGCATTATTTGTTTTTTGAAATGGAATAAATAGAACATATTTGCACATCTAGTACGAAGTCGAGGGACATTAAAAGTTAATATACTAATTGATTCAGGACGGTTAACACTCCATCATTTACTATTTTAAATAGAAACTTTAAATCAATCGGTGTTCTCCTTTCAGCCAGTCCGGTCATATTTAATTGGGTTAATAACGGAGCGCATGGAAGAGAGGAGAGTGTGGAAGGGGTTGCTATTTTGTAGTGTAAGGTACACAGACTTTAGGGGAAATGATTGGAAAGAGCGCGCAAATGAAACTCATTACGATCGAAAATAAACGGGAAACCGAGTTCACTTACAGGTTATGTATAACTTACGAAAAAAAAAAAAAAATCGCTGGATCGCGGTAAACGGATCGATCTGTATAGTACGAGTAGTTTGATTTATTCACGTGTATAATAATACTGTTTATATTTTAATTTAATGATCGTGGCCGATATTTTATAACGCAACACGTATTAGGTACAGCATAATATTAGAGCAACAAGGTCGGACGGCGAGTATTAATGAATAATTTATTAACTCCGGGCCAGTTAACTTCACTCGATTCGACAGTGACTTAACACAGTTTTTGTTTTTTGTTTTTGTTTGTTTTTGTTTTTTTTTTTTTGATAAACGAATGTTTGTAAACTTAGAGATGGTGATTGATTTTTTTTCGAGAAAAAAAGAACCTGTTTAAATGTTATAGCGCGCAGTTCGAAAAAAAAAACAATAAATTATCGTCGTGTGGAAACTACAGAAATTATTGCGATTTACATAACGTACAATACTGTTATATAATTCGAAATTAACTCGTCGAACGGACAGGCGGTGTGATTTGGGGATGACCAATGGGACATAAGTCCAGGGCCCCGCACTTGTTTAGGTTTTAATGGACCACGCTGTGTATTATTATATAGGTATACGATTATCAGTCATACTAAAGCATTGTCCAGCGTCCCGCAAAACCCAGCGCCGCCACTACAGAAATGATCCGAATGATGAAGAAATATAAATATTGGGAAAAAAAAAATTACAATGGGATCGGTTGCGGCCACCGTTATAAGCAATTTCATGTACATTTCATAAACAACGATAAACCGTTGCTAACGAAAAAAACGATTCTGGGCGCAGTTCAGTTGATACGGTGATGCTTCGTAAACAATATATATACCGTATCATGGTAAAATAATTAAATAGGCATTATATATTTTCTTTAATAATATTTGTTTGATAATGTACAGTTTTTCCCGGTTTTTCGTATTTGCTGGGAAAACTCTTAGGAAAATCGAAAAACGACCTCCCTAAAGTACCTTTCCAGTCAGATTTTTTTTCAGAAAAAGTGCTATTATTTTAAATCGGAGCGCAAATGCTGGTAGAAAAGTTGTCTACAAAAAACAAATAAAAAGCCGTAATATTCTTTTACTAATACCTACACTTCGTACATTTTCCTTTTTTCCGACATCCTAAGTTAAAAATTACAATTTACCAAACTTTCATAACTTTTTGTAATATCGTTAACCCACAGCCTTGAGTGAGAAGATATTTTATTATATCACCTAATAATAATAATGCGTGTGTTCTATTATAACGATGATGCTATCGAATAACCAGCACGAAGTTAAAATTACCCGCGATTATAATCTAAATTACACGATTATTTTACCATTACTGTATGTGTATATATATATAAAAAAAAAAAATTAATTTAGAATATTTTCTGTATAAATACCTGTATAAGTGTATTTATAATAACTGCTGTAAACTTGTTTGCGTTTCCGTTATATCTATCGTTTGTTTTTTTTTTCCCGTCTCCGCAAACGAAACGAGAAAAATTACCAAAGTACCAACCTATACGTACAGTGTCCTGCAATTAGAAATAGTTTAAAATATACATACGTAATACGCATTAACGTTATTTGATGTTATATTTTTTTTTTTTTTCGCACTGCCGCTTCAAAAGTAATATAAAGCGCCTCTTGTCGTGTGTTATTTTATGTAGCATCGGTTAGTGTAAAATATAAAGTTTTTTAAAATTAAATCAATGACTTCCGTTTTTATTAACTATGTAAAAAAAAACACACACAAGTTTTTTTTTTCGTCCGTAAAGTTGTTTAAAATTTAAAAAAAAATGTATTTCCTACCGATAAAAAAAAAAAAAAAAAAACACATTTCTAATTTAAACTTCATAAACTGTTTATACAACCTAAATGATTTCATTGTGTCCGACCGGGGAAAAATTATATTTTAAAATTCACAATTTATAATGTACACAAATTATTATAGATTTTTGTCAGTAGTAAAACTCTTTGTTCGCTCTTAGTAAATATTTTAATACTCGTCCGAAAAAATAAAAATAGCAATAATAATCGTGATAATAATTTTTGTGACGAAAATATTGTAACCCCATTGTAGTATTGAAATATCTATTATCCGTACTAAAAATGTTCTCATTCAAAAAACAAAAGAAAATTCGTAACTACGTACCAATTGTAACAGATTAAACAAAAAAAAAAAAACAAAATCAATTATTATTAAAATATTTGTCAATAATTCTGTTTCATGCGCTGGGAGGGGGAGAGGTTAGGTATTATATACATCTGCTTCTCCACTAGTGGCTTACAAACACAAGAATTGCGTGCATTTGTGATTACCTTTATACATTTTCTTCATCTGAAAATTCCTGGCCACGCCACTGAATATATCCGAATAATACTATACTAATACTAACAGTAACATATTATTGCCGACTATCGTATATTGGCGTATTATCCAACCGTCTGATTGGAATCTCATCACGCGATTATATGTTTATTATTATTCCGATATCAGATGTGGATTTATTTTTTAGTGATACGGTGACTAGAGAGAAAGTGAGCTACTCATCTATCTCCTGGTCATAGTTCGCATAAATAATGGCGGACCGAAACACGTTCCCAAACGATTGGCATTGGCTATTATGCACAAACAGTTGGCCGAGATAATAACACGGTGACCGAGTGATTAGCAGCGATTTTCGTTCAAAATTATCCCGCCGTTTTTACGTTTGCGAAAACGTAAAAAAACGTTTGACCGCGTGTATAGATACGAAACGCGATCCTTTTCTAAATTGGGAATTCAATTTCAAACGTGAAAACGGCGGGAAAAATCGAAAAAACCGGGAAAACCGCTACTGTACCGGCCGGCCGCTATCCAGTTATCGGTCGACCGCGGTTGCTGCGCCGGTTGTACCGACACCGTCCCGCAGTGGCCGGCGTACGCGTGAAATATCGTATTCCGTGTGTGTGTGTGTGTGTGTGTGTGTGTGTGTGCGTGTGTGTGTGTGTGTGTGTGTGTGCGTGTGTGTTTTACGGGACCGCGGCGCGACATCGTATCACAGCACTGCGCCCGCGTGTTACCCGCGCCGCCGCGGTTATCGCGCAAAACGACATCGCGGCCGAATAAATTATGCAACGGCGCTCAGAGTGCGCGGACCCGCGACAAACGAACGACACGTAGGTGCACATTTTCGTTACAATGTCGTTTATTAGAAAAAAAAAAATAAAAAAAATGATGTTCGAAATAAAAGCTCGTCGAACAATAATGTCGTTATGGACGGCGTTGCGCGAGAGCGTGCCCGTCGTACGGTCGCCGCAGTTTTACCGCGCGCGCGTACCGGACCGCGCCGTAGCGCCGCGCGGAACGGAATTCCGGCGGGGCGAAGCTCGGTTGGGGGGGGGGTTGTCACTTTTCGCGGGTCGCGCGGGCGGGCGTACGGGCCGCGGCGTCGGGTTTCGACGGTCGGACGGCATTATCGTTACGATCGCCGTCGTGCGCTATTCCCGCGAATAATATCGACCGGAATACTACGCGTCCGCGCGCATTAAGAACACGCGCTCGCGTACGCGTATTTACGGCGACCGCGGTGTTTTCGCGATATGGCAACGACGACAACGGCAACCGCGTTAATGGATTGTGACGAAAATAACAACGCGCGCGGTAAACGCGGAAAAACGGGACACGCGGGGTGTTCCCACCGGTCCGGCGCGTTTCGCCCTGCGCCGCGCGCGTTACGCCGCTCGTCCGCTTTACGCCGTGACAATAACTAAGGCGACGACGACGATAATAATAACATCAATAATAATAATAATAATAATAATGATAATAATGATAAACAATGACGTACGGCGATACGAAATTTTAGGCGATCCGTCGACGAGCGCGCCCGCGTTCGGACGGCCGCAGCGGTGTCGTACGCATCGCCCGCCACTCGACTCCGGGTCCCGGCGGCGTGAACGTTTTCGAGCGCTTAAATCGTCGCCGACGTC